TTTGCCTTTAGTAAATTATCACAATGAGTCAGTGACTTCCAGCAGAAGTTGGAACTTTCAAACTGCATGCTTGTTCCAAATCAGGGACTCACTAATTTTTGAAATAAAGATAAAGATGACATCCCTGGAGCCTTTACTGTAAAAAAAAAAAAAAGAAATGTGATGAAGTTTTGCTAATGGCTATGCACAGTTTACATGCAATTACTAACACAAAATTAAATCCCATAGAAAGGCTGTTGCATGGAGATCCCCATGGCAGCAGTCAGGAATATGAATGACCTAATACAGGGGAAGGCAACCTCGGCACTCCAGCTGTTAGTGAACTCCCGTGAGACATTGCAAGACTGTGACAGCCACTGGCATGACTACCAGAGGCAGATGCATAGTGGGATTTGTAGTTTCCCCACAGCTGGAGTGCCAAGCTTGCCTACCCCTGACCTAAACCGTAGAGCAGGTGACACATAGATCTATTCTAAGAGTGTTATTATGTTCCTGGATCCGAGTTGCATTCAGAGGGCCCTGCGTTACATTATAGATACATTGTAAGGGTCAGGGCCCTCCTAACCATCTTGTATTGAATAGTACTGTAGTGTATTGTATTCCTTATATAGTAAAGCGCTGCGCAAACTGTTGGTGCTATATAAATCCTATATAATAATAATGAATTGTATAAGAATTTTCTCAACATAACACCTCTTGAATGAACAGGCAGATGAACTCTACCCCAGCCCTGACAATCAGGGCCGGCGCTAGCGCAAGGCAAGATAGGCACTTGCCTTACGGCGCCAGGGAACAGGGCGGAAAAGTCGCCCAATCGAGACCAGACTCAGTGTGTGGGCAGCGGGCTGCCGCTGCGGGCGGACGGCATCTGAAAGACGAGTCGCCGGCCGCCGCGGCGCTGACCTCTGCAGTCACGTCTCAGAGACTCAGTGACACTCTCCTTGGGTACGTCATTGAGTGACGTAAGTCGCCCCGCCCCTGGTTCCCCTGGCAGCTCAGCCGTGAAGGACAGGTGCGAGGGCTGCAGGAGGCGGAGCAACGGATGGACTGGACCAGCATGTCTTGCACCGGCCCTGCTGAGAATGACGGCACGTCATACGAGGCACGCTGGGACGGCTTTGGCACGACGGCATAAATGCCTAGCAGAGATGAAGCAGACTTCCTAGCACAGATTCACTAGCCGGCTGGGGAATGTATGAGCCCAGCGTAGTGAGAGGGAGGGGGCCCAGACTACATAGCAATAGCCTTGAGCGGTAACACGCAGGAGACTGGAAGCCTATAGTAAGGTAAAATTCACATCCGATTCCCAGGCTCTAATTACTGAGACTGAGCGACGAGTAACTGGGGAGTATTTTATCTATACACCGAGCACACCGGAGTATGGTGGATGTAAAAAACAAATTGCCTATATATATGGTGGTGAGCCTATTTTTCGGGGAAACTTGAGCTAGTGTATATCTTCATTCTGCTTGTATGTGATAAATATATATAATTATTATTATTATCATTATACAGGATTTATCACTGGCCCCTCCCTCTTAGATTGTAAGCTTTCACGGGCAGGGCCCTCCTTACCATCTTGTCTTGAATTGTATTGTGATTGTAATGTCTTCCTTATATTGTAAAGCACTGTGCAAACTGTTGGTGCTATATAAATCCTGTATAATAATGATAATAATTATAGTGCCAACAGTTTGTGCAGCGCTTTACAATATAAGGAAGACATTACAATCACAATACAATTCAAGACAAGAAGGTAAGGAGGGCCCTGCCCATGATGACTTACAATCAAAAAGGGAGGGCCCAGTGATACATGAGGAGGTAGCTGTGTGGGGATGAATTCTTTGAGAATGTGATGGTTCAGTGGTTAGGTCGAGGTGGGATAGGCTTCCCTGAAGAGATGAGTCTTTAGGGATTGCCTAAAGGCAGTCAGAGTGGGAGATAGATGGACAGCTTGATGTAAAGAGTTCCAGAGGATTGGAAAGACTCTAGAGAAGTCCTGGAGGCGAGCATGGGAGGAGTTGACGAGGGAACTGGAAAGCAGGAGGTCTTTGGAAGAGCGGAGAGGACGGTTAAGGTGATACTTTGAGACAAGGTTGGAGATATATCCGGGGCCAGAGTTGTGGATGGCTTTGTACGCGGTTGTTAATATTTTGAATTTTATCCTTTGGGCTATAGGAAGCCAGTGCAGGGATCGGAAGAGGGGGGTTGCAGACACTAAGCGGTTGGTTAGGTGGATGAGTCTTGCAGCAGCATTCATAATAGACTGAAGGGGTAGGAGCCTGTGTAGAGGTCGACCAATGAGGAGGGAGTTGCAATAGTCAAGACAACTGTGTGTGCGTGTGTGTGTGTTAAAGGAAACAGTACCAACACTATTCAAAGTAAATGGTGCTCAACACAATGTTGGCATAAGTTGCAGCCCATAGCTAAAGGGTGCGGGATGCTGTGATGTAATTGACCTTATATGGCTGCATGGCTATATCTGTGGCCATGTGACCATATAAGGTCAATGACATCAGCACAAGCATCCCGCCCCTTTGTCTATGTGCAGTGGTGGGGGATTCAGCCTTCAGCTGATTGGGTGGTGGCCCCATGTCCTTTCTGGGTTCGGAGGAGCTCAGGTCCAGAACGGGTTCGGTCCAAAACTGAGCTGATTCCTACTCACCACACGTATTACAATCTGATTGCAGGTCTACCTACTATGTAGTACAAGGGTCTGTCTGATTGGATACAAAGTAATCGGATGAATTATGTAGGTCCTCACGTTACATAGTTTTGTTAAAGCTGATTGAACAATCAGATTGTAACATATATGTTGGCTTTTAGACCCACACTTACATACTAGATGTATACATACTACATACCAGGGTCAGTTTTAGACAGGAGCTAATTATCCCACCATGTCTTTGGAGTGTGGCAGGAAACCGGAGTACCTGGAAGGGACCCCCATGCACAGAGAAAACATGCAAACGTAATGCAGATATCACTATGGCCTAGATCCAAACCAGTGACCCCATTGCTGCAAGGCTGAAGTGCTAACCGCTTGTGTTATAAGAAGCCATATGGCACTTCAGGGTATCCCTAAGGCAGGGGTGGACAACTTCGGCCCTTCAGCTGTTGTGGAACTATAAGTCCCATGCAAGACCAACCGTTACTGGCAGAGGCATGTTGCGATTTGTAGTTACAGCACAGCTGGAGGGCCGGAGTTGCCCACCCCTGCTCTAATGGATGGATATTTAGTAACCAGTAACCTGTAATGTTTGTTCACGTGTGTATGTGTATCCACGATGTGTGTGCGGGTGCACTGCACAGGTCAACATGATAGCGGTGGGCACTCGGGCTGCAGCGGCGGTGTGTGTGTAAATGAGGGAAGCAGATGGCCACAGGAATGTAGAGCAAGCTGCGGACAGCTAAAGGTCTCCCAGGAAAAGGGAAAAGCACGGAATATTTATCATGGCAGAGGAGGCAGATTTCTTTGCTGCTTTGAAAATCCACCATGTAATAGCCGTTCTACCGCTCGTAGAAGAATCACATCTGTGCGGCCAATCGTCTGTGCGTCCAAGCCGGCACTCAACAACCGACCCCATATGGTAACATTGTAGCACATTTCTATTACATTTACAGAGTCATGATACATAAATGACATACGTGTATCCCAAATAGTTCATAAAACCTTTATCATGTTCCCTAAAAAAAAGGTCTAAACGTTAGACGTGCAGCCCCGCAAAAAATGCGTTTCGTTTCATTTCAGATCAATTCGGATTTTTATTTATTTTGTTTTTTGGATTTCAGAATCGAAATTTGATTTGTTTTGTTATTCAGATTTCAGATCCTTTCGAATGTTCGTTATGGAACAAAGTCACATGACCGTGCCTGTAATGCAACCCCAAGCAGCCAGAGAACAAACATACATCTGACTGGCCAGTTTCGACGGATCCGAGTTTTTGTTAAAAGACCATTCGGATTTGTTCACATTCGAACTTGCTCACATTCGGAAATCCGGATGCATCCGAACGTCCGAATTTAACAAAATTTGTATGATTATCCATTCGGAACGAAACAAAATTTACATGTCTACTAAATGTGTCTGTGATGTGGTCTGCATTCAGAAATTCATGAACATGTTTGTAAATAAGAACATTGCTTCAAACTAGGCAAGCATGCAACACAGCAATCAGACCATCTCAAAGCTGCGAACATACACTTAAAGTTGAGCAGGCACACAGCCTGTGCAGGGAGCAGAGCTGCGGGAGGGGTTCAGCAGGCTCCACCCACTACAGTACACTACAGGACGGGGCGGCGACAAGACCAGTCATCCTGCACAAGGAAAGAGCAGCAGTGAGCGGTCTTTATTACAGGAGGGGGCGGAGACAAGACCAGGCATCCTGCACAAGGAAAGAGCAGCAGTGAGCGGTCTTTATTACAGGAGGGGGCGGAGACAAGACCAGTCACCCTGCACAAGGAGAGAGCAGCAGTGAGCGGTCTTTATTACAGGAGGGGGCGGAGACAAGACCAGTCACCCTGCACAAGGAGAGAGAAGCAGTGACCGGTCTTTATTACAGGAGGGGGCGGAGACAAGACCAGTCACCCTGCACAAAGAGAGAGCAGCAGTGAGCGGTCTTTATTGCAGGAGGGGGTGGAGACAAGACCAGTCACCCTGCACAAGGAGAGAAAGTAGCAGTGACCGGCCTTTATTACAGGAAGCTCCAAGTCTCACATGGGATTACTGCAGAGGACTGGAAGAAATACACATTGGTTACCAAGATTCTAGAAGAACACACATGGCTTATGAGGACAATATTTGCTTATCCCCAAATTCAGCCTTAAGTAACCATATAAAAAGGAGTTTGTGGAATATAGTTGGATGTTTATGGTCACACCTTCACTTAGTTGCTTTATTATGGTATACAGAGCGCTCTGCATTACATCGCTCCCAGACAAGATTCAGCCAGGCACTGGGCAGGTATTGATAACTGGCCATAAGCTCTTTGGTTTCCTACCTGTCAATGATGACGGGGTCAGACGGGGTCTCATTCCGATTACCGCAGCTTTTCTTCTCACAGCAGCGACTGAGGAAAGACATCAAAAGAGATTTAGAACGACAGGATACTAAGAGAGACTAAAGTGATAATAAAGTCAGAAGGTTTTTAAGCTATTTCAAATGCTGATGAAATCACTTACAATGGAAGCTGCTCATTGATGTTTAAAAGTTTAATTTCCTGTAGAATCAGCTGGTCCCCTGAGCACTGGCCCTGATATCCTGTGTTAGGGTGGCGCCTTTCCTTTTCAGGGTCCTATGGAGCCACCCTTGTGTGTGCTAGTAAGCTGTGTGTGTCTCCACAAACACACAGGCACAATAGGGCAATCCATTCCCCTGCTCCACACTCCTCCCTTCTCCAAGCTAGTAGTTAGACGGCAACTGGAGACTGCTCTGTCCCTTGTGATGTTGTACTGGACAGGAAGTTCAGGGAAGCCGAGCTGAGAGATTTGGAGTTTGCAAACATGGTGATTGTAAGTGTTTGGGCAAAAATGTAAAGAAAACCTTTGCAGGGCAATTTATATTTGTTTAATCTGGATGTATTATTAAAAAAAACAACGTTTGAGAGTTCAATATTACTTGATATCCAGACAAGGGCAGACGTGCTGATAGTGTCCAGTAAAGATTCTATCCCACAGAATAATAAAACCAAACAGAACACATATTGAAGAAAAAACAATGTGCGGAAATCCAGTACCACCAAACAGTTTAGAGAGGTCAAAACACTGAAATATGCTTTTAGTGTTTCCAAAGGGATTTAATTAGAAAAAAGGTGTGTCAGGTTACTTTAAATAGTGAACTGTTGTAAGTTCAAGACAGATCGACCTTAAAGTATATTTCCACTTTTTCAGCCAAATTGGGATAACACCTACTTTATATTTGTTACTTGTTCCCATTCACATAGCAAAACTTAAAATAAAAAACATAGAAAACATAACAGTAATAAAAAAATAAAATAAAATGAATTATGTGTT